AATAAAAAATAAATTATATATATATATATATATAATCATAGCACTAGGTACAACTAAAAATAGCGGTTCTCACGTTAAGCCTTAGTTCTCATTTGAACCACATCCTATATACATATACACACAAACACGGACATGTGTATATCTTTTGTAATGGCGGAGCAATCATCTTTCTCATGGCATTAGCGTCATTATTATTCATTATTTCACTAAACATACTTTTATTCAAATTTATCTTCCACATTTAATAATAATACATTTAAATGCATATGTTATTTGCATAAAATAAAAAATAAAAAAATGCATGTGTAGAATCCATTAATTACCCACTCGCCCCTAAATGCCATTTAATGGAGCTAAGCTACTGTGGTCCAACCATTTTTGCTCGCTAAAAATGAACGAGACCTCATTGGGTGTTAATGGTGACAGTGTCCATTTAAATGACAATTGAATGCACTGATACAGGTGTTCTACAGGGCAGCAGCTTGCTAGCTACTACTGGAAATGAAATTTTTGGTTTTATTACAAAAAAAGTAAAAAAATAATAATAATAATTTAACATTTTATGATTTATGGTGGTGGTCACAAGTTCATTTTTATATCAGTGATGACTTTTATAGGTTGATTTTGTTTGAAGATATATACTACCATTTTGCACATGTAGCCAGTGTAGCTAGCTAGCTGTTCACAATGTGTATTTGTGTAACTAAGTTGAAAGTATCAAATGGGCCAAGTCAATTAATGGGGTTAACTTATTCCTTATGAGCTGAAATATGTACTGCCGAACTAAGAGCACCCACAATGCATTGAGTCTTTTAATAAAATATCCTATGCCACATAGGAAATAGACTTAGTCTATTAAAAAATGTCTCCCAATGCAATTAAAGGTGGACACGGTCTAGCTTATGTGGCAATAAAAAAAAAGAGACCAAGTCCACATTTGGGTTTATTTTAGACTCAAGTACAAACTCAAGCACTCATAATTTATTCCTCATTTATATTTTCTTTTAATAAATGAAACATATTAGAGCATTTTTATTGGTTGGAATGTATGCTAGACCTAATATTTTATTTTTGCATTAAATAGTTTTTGAGTTTTTTTTACTTGAGTTTTTGTCCATGTCATTTACGACTTAAGTCTATTTATATGTCACATATGTAAAATTAGACCAATGCATTGTGGGTGCTCTAAGAGCCATAGACAACCTGTGAGCGAAAGGGGAAAAAAATGCGCAGGGAAATAATAATAAAAAATGAATAAAAGTACGTATCACTAAACTAGTAGTTGCCGCTGGAAAGATCTTTTATATTTATTTTTAACAAACACAAACACAAATGAACATTGAACACAATAATCGAATGGGTCCTTTCAAATTTGGAGTGCATAAAATCCAATGTCTTAACTTTTGATCTTTTCATTTATTTATATGAATAAAGCAAAGAGTTGAATGTGACGTTA